CTAAAAAGTATTGCAAATCTTGCAGCAAAATTAAAACTATTACGTGATATAAATCTATTATTAAGAGTAATAAGTTTTATGAAAATTTAAGATTGTTATATGAAAAAAAAATCATTATCAATACTTCATTCACTTTCTATCTATTCTCAAAAACTCTTTTTCAAAGATAATTACTGAATTTATATAAGATTTGCTAGATGAGCAACTCTCATCTGAAAGTTTACTTTTGAAAGATGTAAAGTTTTTTTTTCTTAAAACCTAGTTTTCAGATTGATAAATATTAAAAGACTTACCAATTCATTTTGTTAAGTAAATAATATAAGAGTTAGATTAATCACAGTAAAGTAAACAGAAATTATAACCTGACTTTTATTCTTCAAAAAGTTTAAAATAAGGTTCTGAAATTTAATCTAAAGATAAGAAACTTATGGATTAAATTGCAAGAAAGCAGATCTATAATAAAATGAAACTATATCTCATAAATATTTTGATTAAATACTTATATATAATAACTTATAAAGTAAAAAAAATTAATAAATTATTTGGGTATAAATATAATCCTATAACTTTTAAAAAAATTAATAGTATAGAAAGACATATGATTTAGCTAGCATTTATAATACTGATAGAATCTCAAAGCTTACTAATTCTTAAGTCTGATATATTATAGATCAAGTTAATATGAAAACTACTTTCTTAAATGATAAGAATGTAGCTTCTGTATTTATAGTATACCACCTGATGTATATTTTAAAGAATTAGAAAAAGAAACAAATAAAATAACTTCAACTAAGATGAATAATAATGATGATATATATTTTAAAAATCAGAAGAAAAAACAAATTAAATTAATACAGACAATAATAATAACTCTGATTCAGGTAATGATGACTCTTACTCTTGACTCTGATGAATTTATAAACTCAAATCACCTAATCCATGATATTCTCTTACATAAAGTAATAGCTTGATTTGAAGAGATAATAGTATCAGCATAGACTGAATTATCATATAGGTTTGTTTTATTTTTTTTTATAATTTTTAAATTCTTCCACTTATTTATAGATAATAGATAATACAGATTATGGTTCATAAAAAGAATAAAAGATATAAGCAATCTATACTATAAGTAACTTCTTTTATTAATTTAGTATCAGCTAATTAGATCTAGTCATAAAGTGTTTCACTTACAGTAATAAATACAGAACTATGAGAATTTATAAAATAAGGTTTTATAGTTAATAAAAATTTATAAAATATTATTATATGATCAAAAAAGTATGCCTTGAGTTGATAACTTTATTCATCTTTCTATTGAACTTGAAAAATAAAGTAAGGATCTAAGAATAAAATAATATCACACCTTAATGAGAGAACTCTTTAATATAAAAATATTTTGTAATACATCTAATCACAATAACCTCATCTTTAAAATAGAATATTATAATAATATAGACAATCACATAATTGATTTTATTAGAAAAATAAAAAAGGATAGTTAAGTCATAGATTAGTTATATTATTATGTCAGATGATAATTACAGAAAGAATAGTGGATTTTTTTAATATTGCTAAAAATAAAGATCCTGAATTGCACGTTTAAATAATTATTTTTTAAATCTACTGCAAAACATACTATTTACAGTAATACTTTATATATGCAGGATGTGATTTAGAATGAAATAAAAAGTTCTTGAAATTCACTGATCATAAGAAAAATATATCACTAATATCTGCAGTCATTATTTTTAGAGGATTTATTAATAAAAATAATTTTGTATTACTCTCATAATATACTTTTCTAGCTGTAAAGATACTTCGCAAAGTTCTGATATATTTTACCTCACTTATTATACAGTTCTAAATTACTAATAAAATATCACTAATTTTGTTAATTGTAAGACAAAGCATTATTAAATAAAATAAAAATAAAAATAAAGTGATTAGAATCTATGATTTGCAGATTTTCAGATAAATGGTAAATTTTATTATTCTACTTATGTTAATATATTTAAATTATGTATATAAAGCTAAGCATATATTAATCTATTTTTAGAATAAAGTTATAGGTATTAGCAATACATAATCCAATATAATGATATATCATTTACTGATTTTACAGATCTTAATCCATAATGAATAAATAGTAGATTTTTTATTCTAATTTTTTTTATATCAACCAATTTAGATAATAAACAGTAGATATACAATTATTCTATTGTATAAATTTATAATATATCAGTTTAGCATATTCATCAGATATTCCTTTTAATATAATTTTTTTTCTAAAAAAAGAGATTATATTAAATAAGCAATATATTTTATTAGATAAGCAATGCATATTTACTAATCATGAGGGTATAAAAATGTAAAATTTACACTAATGCTTCTGATAATTTTATTCTTAAAATAGCTAATTTTTCACAAAATATTTATGCAGAACTACCTATAAAAATTTGAAATTTTTATAAATATCCTACCTATTTTCTTCTAATAAACCTTATATTATGATTTACATTTACCCAAGTTTATGAAAGTTTTTATATCAAATTATATCATAAATAAAAAAGAACTCCTATCTTCTTATATAATCAAAGTGAGAAAAAAAATCTAGATAGATATTTAGTTCTTTCTTTAATCTTTTTTTTTAGATAAAAAATGAAATAAGAAAATAAGATTTTATAATATAATTTATTTACAATTCTATATCTACATAATAACAAAGCTATTTAACTAATATTTCAATAAATTTTAAAATTTTTCTCTTGCGTAAAACCTTACGGTTAAATATTTACAAAAAATATATTATTATTATTATTCATTATTTGAAATATATTATAAGGATATGAAGATATAGGAATATACTAATTTTTTTATCTTTAAGTACAAACGTCAGATAGAATCTTAATAATTTTTTTTTCAAAAATATGGTAAATCTATAATAATATTTTTACTATTATTTCAGATTCATATTTTAACGTAGATTTTCTATGCTAGTATATATAAGTATTTATTTTGTCAAAAGACTGTAAAATATATAAAAGATTATTTCTAAAGGAAGTGCTTTGGTATTTCTTTTTCTTTAACAAGTAAAAATAATAATTTCTCATAAAATAATAAAATAAAAATCTATCTAAAAAATAATCTTGACTCAGATATTTTCTTGATCATAGTCTTCTTTACCACAATTATTTTTTATGAAATGCTGATTAATAATGTCTTAACTATAGAAATGATCTAAAACATTTTTTTCAAAAAATATAAATATTTATATAATCTTTACTATTGCTATCTTTTTTTTTTACAAATATTTAATTGGATCGTGAGATAATAATTTTGAAAGAACTATCTTAACATTAAGTAATGAACTTCAAAGAATGTGTACAGAAGCTAAATGAAAAAATGATACAGTATCTCAAGGTAGGTTATATATTAGAAAAAAATATATGTTATAAATATATACTTATCTACACATTACTGCATTTTTTTCTAGTAAGATCTAATTGATTTTCTTCTACAAATCACATTTCCATAGGAAATTATTCTGAATATATGGATGAATATGATAATAGGAGGAAAAAAGAAAGTCATTCTCTAACGTAATTATACAATATTTTATCAATTGAAATAGGTCTTAATACTAGTATATTAGCTAGTTTTTATCATCATCAAAAATCACCAAAAAGAACTTCTATAGATAAAATTATTAAATGAGTTGAAAAAGAGGGAAATAAGAAATCAGTTAGTTTTTTTGATAGTAGCAGAAGTAACAATAGTAGCAGTAATAGTAGCATTAGAGGAAGTATCAGTAAAAGTAATATTGTGAAATAACTTGATGTTAGACTCATATTAAATGGTCTAGAATCTGCGTAGTTCCTCCTTCTTTTATACATTTCGCTTGTTACCTTCATCTTTTATAAAGGAATCAAAAAATAAATCATTATTTATATAGTTATTTATATGTAAATATATATATCTTTGAACTCCAAAATATAACATCAGTAAAATCCAATGGTATATAAAAAAAGTATACAAAATCAATTAATTAAATAATATCATATCTCATAAGATATATAATAATGAGTATTCAAAAAAATGTTTCTTAAACTTTTCTCTTAAAATTTTAATCAATGTCTTCTTTCATTTATAAAGTAAATTTTACCAATTTTATATCTATTCTTCTTATAATTTTTACTGTGTTCGTGATCTGTTGTAATTATTAAGATATCTGAATTTACATTTGGAATTATTACTTATCTAAAGCATTTCTTTTGTCAATTTTAGTTCTTTTATATTTCTTGCATTTTTCTCTTGATCACTATTAAATCATACATTGGATATTATATCTTTAATAAAAGTAAGTTATTGGCTTATTTACTTGTATAATGTAAAGTTGTTAAAAACAGATTTTGTGTATTAAAAATTTTTATACTCTATTTCAATAATCATGATGAACATATCTAAAATTTATTGCAAGAAAATAGATCTTGAAAATCTAAATCTCAAGAAGGTTTATACCTTTGAAGAGTTCAAGTACATAAACGACCAACTTAAGACTTGTACTATAAAATTTGATAGAAAACCAATTAATCTCTTCAAATACAAAAATGGAAAATTAATCCTAATGCCTTAAACTCTATATGTTAAAAAAAAGGTTATCTCAGAAATTGTGACTCAGCTTTATAACTGAAATATCAAAATACATCAAAATAGAAGCATTACCTTTTTGCAAAATGGCTTTAATTTTGATATTAGGGGACAGAGAACAATTAAAGCACCTGATATTTTTTTCACTTCAAAACAAACAGACCGCAGTTTGGATGTGCTACAAAATTAGACCTTTCAAGGTCAACCCTTTACCCTAATATTTGTTATTGAGGTTGATTTTATTAAAAGTGATTCAGTGCTTTAAGTATTTAATGATAGATTTAGAAATGAACTTTTTGCATTAGGATCATTTGTGAAGTTAGGATTTCTGGTTAGCATCTAGCAAGATAATAATGGTCAACTATAGGGAAATATCCATTCATGGAGATGATACAAAAACAATACTATACGTTATTATGAATATGAATGAAGAAATATGGATACTAAGGTTAGCAATTAGGAGATTCTTCCAGGCTTCGAATTGAATGTTAGGATGATTGAAGAAGCTATTTTGCAAGTATGTTATGACAATTTATCATTGATGATTTTATTTTAGATCCTATCACTTATTTATTTCATGAAATGAGTACAGCAAAATTCAGGTTCATTATCATTAGATGATGATACTAAATTTCCTTATTCTAAATATATGAAAACCATTACTATAATCACAGATTTATGAAGCATTTTCAAATAGAGCATGCACTTAAGACATATATCTAAACTAATATAGATTAATTGTTAGGAAAATCAGGTTCTGGGAATTTTTTAACAAAATTGAGATTTTTATTGCATTTTAGTTTTTGATGTTATTAGATTAAAATGTATTAAGCTCTTAATTTAAGTGAAAAATTTCTCAGAACCTGATTTTCCTAGAAACCCTTCTATATGTTAATCAATAGATTATCATATGTCTCAAATGTTGTTATATAAAATAAGTCTTACCATTATTACAAATAAGAAAATAGAATTTTTTTAAATTTCGCTTTATCTAATTATATTATTAATTGCATATTTTTATTTTTCTGAAATAAGATTTATAATGCTATTACATATATTTTGAGTTTTCCTTCTTTGTAATAAAAATTCTTGATACTTTATGAAATAATAAATTATTTACTATATCGAATGCTATTTGTTTACTATGCTAAAATTACTGCACTTGTGACCAGTAATATCTATTATACTATAGTGAATAATAATGCTTTAAAAATATATATCAATAAAGTATATATATTATTACCTTTGGTTAATATCATATGCGGATGTTATCTGATATGTATTTTATTTATACTACTTTATAATCATTATTTTTAGCATTCTGGAGATTTTACTTGTACAAACACTTGAACATTACTTAGATTAAATATAGTAAATTCAGTACTAAATGAAGAGATTATTGACTTATATACGGAAATACCCACTTTTCATTTTAATTATAAGCCTATTATAGATAAAATGCTACTAAGTCTAGTCAAAAGAGCTTTTAATTAATTACTTAAATAAAGCGTAATTCTATTTTGCTAGAAGAAATTACAGAAAAAAGTGATTGTATTGAATAATATTTGTACAATAAATTAATTATTTATAAATAGTATGAATACTGGAATGCAGACAGAGAATAGTAGTTTTTCTAATAAAGCAACTCGAACAGATTTGGTAATCTATTGATTTCTTAGAGCAAATTAAATAGGTTAATATAATATTAATTGATGCAGTAAACATTTTATCTAATATCTAATTTTAAAATCATTCTCAATTTTAATATATTTTTCTGACTTTAAACTGAGTTAGCCTACATCTTTTGAAGCTTTTAGCTAAAAAAGGACCAGCGCTTGATATAGTAAAAATTTGCATCAAAATTAACTATAAATTTTATGCAGTTGATATATATCGTGAATTAATAAAGATCTTTAAAAGAAATTTTAATGTTTTAAAATTAAATACTCTTTTTAGAATAACTTTTGAATTTCAGTTTAAATTTATAAAGGTTATTGATCTATTGCTTTAATTAAAAAAATGCTTTATATAAAATTCTTTGAAACATTGGATATCATTGGATGTTATTAACTTTAGAGAAGGAAATAGCTTTTAGAGAATATATTTGTGAAATTTAATTATATACTATTTATCATCTGATATGTGTAAATTGAGATTTTCTATAACTGGTATTCTCATAATCTTATAAGCTTCTTTTACAAAAAAAATTCTTGAATGTCACCATGCCACCCAAAAAGGCTTTACTTTACTGTCTAGTTCTCAGTAAACCTGAAACTTCTGCTTTTCTGATTAGTTATAATAATAACCATACTATAGGTGAGATTAGAGAAATTATAGAACAAAAAATTGAAATTCCTAATGTAAATGCAAAAAACCTCACTTTATATAAAGTTAATATCAATCTTAACATGTAAAATACCCAACGAACTGCTTTCAGCAATCAAAATATCAATATTGTAAATAATTTAGGTGGACAAGTATTGATTTCTACAAAAAATTGTGAAACAATATTTATAATACCACCTTCTGCCGATCATATTCACCTCATTGTCATTGTATCTGCTGTTTCTATTATTGCTAATAAGTAGTTAAGCATTAAGTTGAAGAATAAATCTGCAATAAATCGAATAGTAATCATAATTAACATTTTTTTTGTTTTTTTGATCATTTATTTCTCAGCTGGAAGAGTCGATGTAATTATTGCTAGACTTGACAAGATTGCTAAGAATGTTGAAAATATGAAAAGAGAAAAATCTTCAGTATAAATATCAGCCATAACTAAAGAAATTTAGATGAAGATTCGAGATTATACTGATCTTGATTATCAAGTAATAATACCTGAAATAGAATTTCCAAACCTCAATTTAGATTTGAAAAATGAGAGGATTGATGCTTTCAGATGGACAGATGCTATAAAAAAATCACAAAATGATAGATATAAGCCTCATTTTGCAAATATATTCAACTTGCTTCATTTCAAAAACTTAGACTTTATGATCCATCTGATGATGATAGTTTTCTTAATACAAATACTGATATCTTACTAATAAGACTTTTCAGAATAACAAACTTGATTATAGTAGATAGGTATTCCATCACTTCTCAAGTATAAGAGAAATATATTTGAATCATTTTTGAGTTAAAGAAGACTATTAATAAGAAATATATATTTTAAACTATAGCAGAACTAATTTCTGCAGATTTAAAATCAAAAAATTTAGTATTAGCTGTGTTAATCAATCTGATAGATGACTGGTATTTTTTTGGATTAAAGGAAAAGTTATCATGAGATTTACTCTTTCTAGAGCTAATTTTGTTGCATTGATATGATACAATTTTAATATAACAAATAACAAATTAATAAAATTGGTAGATCAAGCATTATCTGGGTCTACACTAGTAACACAAGAAAGTGCTAAAATGGATATGACTAAATTAACGAATCAATCATCATCTAGACTCATATAAGTGACACAAAAAATAGATATAATATTAAGCTTCTTTGACAAAGAAATATTACCAAAAAGATAGAAGCTTAGACATATTATTACAACTTCTAATATAAGTTTTGATATAGCTCTGATAGAAGATTTTTTTGATACTATGAGTGAAGAAGAAATATTCAGATATAAAGTAAAATAAATTAACTTCATTTTTTAACCAGCTGATCTTTAATGGATTGGATAATCAAAAAATTTTACCTCTACAATCTGATAATGAAAAAAATATATTAGATTTACTAGAATAATTATATGCTGGCTATATTATTTTATAAAACAATACGATTTATAGCAATATTTTTTAAAAATTACTTTGGTTTTAATAAAAATCAATATATTAATACCTGTATTAAATCCTTAGGTTGTGATATATTTTTCTTTTATAATTACTATTAATAAAGTATTTTATTATTTTCTTATATTGGATTTGTATTATAATTATAATTTATATATTTTGTATATACTACTTTATTTTATAATCAATAAGTACATTTTATTATAAGAACAATATGACTGCCACTAATTGAAATTTTTAATTCATATATATTATATATAATATGAGATTTAAAAATACAGGTGTAAGAAATGAAAAAATTCTCTGAAAGGAACTAATGAAAATAAGCATGAAGAGATTATTAATTTATTAGTGATTCAAAAAAAGATTAAAGGTAACAGTAAATGTTTATTTAGAATTACCATTTTTACAACTATCTTAGTGTACTTATTTTTATAATATAAAAATTATTATATCCATATATACTATAAATTATGTAAGAAAAATTTATTATATAGAACTATTATTTATGACTATGTGATTAATTTTAAATTAAAAAAAAATACAATTAGATATGAAATCTAAATATTTAATTAATAATTTTTAGTGAGAATAACCTCTTTTAATGCAATCAGAAAACTTTTGTGTTCAATTATATTCTTATCTTAATAATTAAAGATGGTCCCCATAATTATTTTCAAATTTCAATTGAGTTGCAACTTAATTGCGCCATAAGGAAATTTAATTGCGCCACAAGTTGCAACTCAATTGCGCCATTTTTTTTAATTGTGGTGACCATCTTTATTAATAATATTTCTAACTCATCTCTTTCTTATTAACTTAACAAATTAATACAATCAATTAAATGAAAGTGAAAGTATTTATAGTATAATAAATAGTTCAAATTCTAAATATGAAAGAATAATAATATATCGTCTAGTATTGTATAATATACTTCTATTTGTTCATACCTTCACTTTAAAGCATTTAAGTATTATATTAGGTATAAGATTTTTTGACTAGCTTAAGATTTGAGTATAAATCAATTTTTTATAAAAGATTTTATATAAGATCTAGATATAATCTTAAAAATTTATTAATTAAATAAAACAATAATAATCTTATAATTAGAATTTTGAATAGATTCAGATTAATTTAAATTATTTCAGATAATCTAATTTTACTTCAGGTTAGATTTAAAAAAATCTTTGTAGACCAATTTGGATTCTTGTAACATTAAGTTAAAGGTATATTTTAAAGTTAGTATTTTTTTTTAATTTTTGAAAAACAAACTAATGTTAACTTATCTTTGTGATTAATTTAGAATCAAAATCTTGGATTTTATATCTATGCTATCAAAAAGATTATTTTTTGATGCTAGAATTTTAATATTATTATAAAAAAAAAAATGTAGCTAAAGTTAATAATATTTATTCTAATTAGTATTTATATTATTTTATTTTTTATTGAATAAGTCAATTATATATTAATGTAAAAAATATATAAATAATATTTTTAGTTATTTTTATTCAGAATTAAATTTTAACAGAATTTTAAAATGCAAAGTTAAATTATTTCTATTATACTTAATACATATTAAATATATTTATAAAATCATTAACTAAAAAAAATGATATTAAATATCAAGTGTTAGTATTATGAAAATTTTTAAATAAAATATATATAATAGAAAATTATTATTAGATTAGCTTCAATCTAAGAATTCAATTTTAAGATTTTAGATCAGTTTATAATATAAATAATTTATTAGAAAATAAAAAAAACAAAATTATTTTATTAGTACTTACTTTTAATCTAAGTTACAAATTCTGAATTAATTCTATAAAAAATAAGTTAATAATAGTTTTATTTTTAAAATAAAATATATATACACTAAAAATTTCTTCA